AAAATTCAGAAGACGGATGCACCGGCTGTAAAGAGGAGGAAGGTTGCTCCTTCAAGGTTTGGAGAAATTCTCACTCATGAAGATGTGCTTGAGCGCATGAAATCCAAAAAGAAATGAATCAGAAGAAACTAAGAAGTGAAACGAATGAAAGATTGAAATAAAATGAAATGGAATGAAAAAAGATACGAAGGAATCACAAGAATTGTCAATGGATTTCTGTTAAGTTTATAATGTTCGACAGAGTCTAATGAAGAGCTTTCTTTTCAGTTATTGTCTGTGTCAAAGTATCGTCCAGAAGTTCAATAAAAGTCATTAGGTTATGATCTGTGAAAATAATATTTCTCTTTGTTGATAGGTTCCTGTGAGAGGCATGACTTTTATTGGTGTTCACCATAAGCAAACAGGATTGCAGGTTTTGAACTAGTTTTGAGGAAGATAATTTAGAAGAAAGAAAAAAAGGAAAAACAAAGAAATTAGTACAAGATAGGTGGATGAGAGGACTTTTACTTTCTTTTTTTTATTCCCATAGAAAGAGAATTCCTGCAAGCTTAAAATTCAGCAGATAATGTTTTCACCTGCTTCAGTATAATAAGCTTCATTATTAGCCCATTTTTGCTGAAAATTTCCTCAAATCATCCACATAATGTGGAGTACATTTACAGTCCCGCCTTTTGCTTCTCAGTGCTATCAAACAGCACTTGTACAACATTGTTACTTTTGCCCCATGGTATGTTACTTTTACCCCATTTCGTGGGGCAAAAGTAACATGAAAATACGCTTTTAAAAAGAGATTTCCTAAGGATCCAATTCAGATTTAAATTCTGAAAGTCATTTGAATCTTTTGTTCACTGTTTGAAGAGGGTAGAAATCAATTTTTGTGGCAATGCTTTTGCTAGTATTTTTTTATATCATCCTGCAAAGTACAATTATGTGTTTTTCAGGTTACTTTTGCCCCACCTCACCCTATGGCTCCGCCTTCTTCAATGAGGCTGACGAAACTATGGAGGCGTGCGCGGGGGAGCGGAATCCACCGTGGCACCCGCGGTCGTCGATGAACCATGCGGTCGGAGTCGGAGCGCCGGGAGAGTGCCTCCCTTAGACGCCTCTACTCACCTACCCCTTCGTGCCCGCACATGAATGTACTTGCAGGCAGTAGCCGTGTGTGCGAGGTGGGTGTGCGATGTTCGCTCGCGTCTCGACTTCGCGCTGCGGCTCAGAGTAAAGTTCCAGTTCCTTGAAGTCAATTCTGGTTGGTTCTGATCCGATGTGTGAAAAACGAAGCGATTAGAATTCCCCATCGAGTCATGAGCCAACAGAGGAAACGGAAGCGCGAGAAAACGAGGTTTGTGACAACGAATATACTTTTTTCCCAACTTTGTCTTGGGAATCAGCATTTAATTTGCGCGCTTCGAGTTTCAAGAGTACGAAGAATGTAGGAGTAACGTCGCTCCAAAATCGGCTGGAAATTAAATGGTACTGCACGGGTACCGATTGATTGCCGGTAGTACTTGCAGACAAACTCAAAGTTCCTCGTTACAGCTTATCGATAGTCGTCCACTGCGTTCGTCATCTCCAATGGATGACGAAAAGGGCTTTTAGCCGAATCGCTAATGCCACGCACACGAGACTTAGGATTACTTTGGCCTCGGGGATACGAAATCCAAAAAAATTGCTTGGCAGCGAAAGTGTTAAAACATGATGAAAGTTAACTCTACAGAAAACGGGGGGGGGGGTCAAGTTGGTTAATACTTTTCCTGTTGCACACTACAGCGAATGCTTAGACCTCCAATACAGCGAACGGGGACAGGCTAAAAAATATACATTAAGAGGAAAATTCGTCATATAAGAGGTTTGTTACATGGATTGTCAACAGTACCTAATTTCTTAGTGATCAAACATCGATTACAGCCTGATTACATGGAGAAGCATTTAGGAAATAGAGTTTCACATGTGACGTGCCATTATGCGAACAGGCCAAAGTGCATTTCATCCATTAACACCAAGCAGAAATGACCATTTCCGGACCCACACATCACATTGATATCCCAGGGATGTCCCTAACTGGTCGACTTGTACCCTGGTCTTCATAGGATGTCCTGAAGACGTCTTCTCTCGAAGGGCTTCGGGCATCTCGTAAGGGATGTCTTCGGGATGTCTAAGAGACGTCTTTTAGACATCTTCAGTCCATATCTTAGAGATATCCCATTCGGGATATCTTTAAGACATCCTTAGTCGAATGCTTCTGGATATCCTGGAGGGGATATATCGAGGACATCTTCAGTCGAACGCTTTTCGATATCTTGAGAAGCATGTCCTAGCGACGTCTTAGGGTTGTCCTTAGGGATCTTCAGTGCTCTTTGGCGCCTCAGTCGTGTGCGTACCTGCGATGGTAGATGTCTCCTGTGAGCTCTGATCTGCGACCTCATATATTTTCTATCAAATTTATCAACTTGTTTTGTCCTGAGGGTAAAATGAGTGATCAGTACGTCTGGATACAACAATCTTGGTTGGAGGCCTGAGTCGATACTTTTGAACATCTCTTGAATTCTCGTCTTGGGTTCCATGAATGTTCATATGCCTAGTTGGGCAGCTTGATTGGGGAGGGAATAGCAGCACTTGGGTTCGATTGGGGTTAAAAGTGGCGGTTTGTAAAGAAACCTTTATGGGGAGGGTGGGATATCTCACGAGGTGTCTCACGAAGAGTGCCATATCTGTAATGGTTGTAGCAATTTCAACTAGATGCTAAAATCCTGATTTTTTTATTATCTCAAACTGTTCCTTGAAGTACATAGTTTTAGAATGTCTTGGCCTACTGGCCCAAAATGTAACATACTTCGGAGAATTGTTCAATGTATTTCTTGGTACAATGATCAGATGGTACTTCCCATAGATGTGGCAAAACTTCAGCTAAACCTTTTGCCGATTCGAACAAAGCAAGCTGCGGAACACATCGCATTTCTCATCGAGGGCTATCACGTACACACGAACCCCTGATGCCACCTATGAGGTTAGTGTGTGACTCACTCCCCAAATGGCAATAGCGGCCCAGGACTAAAACGGTGTTCGGCTTACTCGATAACAAACGAGAGAGGATTCTTGTCTGCGAACATCTGACGAGGTTTCAAGAAATTTTGACCTTTTCTCCGCGATAAGGCTACTTCCAATGGAAATGTGAGGTGTCCTCCCATTTTTCAACCCTGGGCGATCTGTTCCCTCTCTGAAATTGACATGATAAAAACGGGATCGCGGGTCCAGTAAGTAATACGCCTGAATCAAGTTCGACGAGGCTTCATGAAGAGAGTCAATGCTTTTATGGACAGAGCAAAAACGGGGTAATGTGAACATACGAGACAAGGATATTCCAAAACAAAATACAAGAATACCTTCAATTCAGGAAACATATTAGGAAACGTTGTCGGAACGTTTGAGAAACGAAGAGAAAACTGGAAAGCTCCGCGAAATGTTGTCCAGTAGCTCCACATTTGGCTCAATGGCCGGACAAACATCGGGCACAAATGCAAAAATAGCTAAATATTGGCTTCCCAATATAGCCATTCCATCGCCGATCCAATGTTAGAGCGACGCGATGAACCCATGTGCCCAAGTTGCACGTAGAAGTTTATTATGCGTGGAAATGTTGACGCTTTCCTTCGTGCCACTACAGGCCGGTAGGGGTCTCGCAATTTTATAGAGTATTTCAAGAACTAAATCATTTTCCAAGGAAGAGAGAGAGAGAGAGTGGAACGACTCTTAAGAATCCCTTAAAGAACATGCGCCCTTCGTGAAAGCAAGTGTCACGCGTTTCGGTCTGACAATTTATGCACTCGTTTAGCCCCATTCCCGCAGGTTTCATTCAATCTGAAACCGAAAGAAATGTATTTCATCTACGATCCAAGGAAAATGAAAGAAATCAGAAACGAAATGGAACCTGAAGTGGGAAGTGCGACGAATCGAGACATCAATAAGTGCATGCAGAAAAATGCTTCGAAATGTGTCGCGCCTGGCAACACGACGTGCATTGAAGAGTATTTTCGGAAATAGTTCTTCGTGCAGTTCTCATGAAAAGGAAAAGGTAAAAGGTAAAAGGTGGGATGCAACAAATATCCCCCAAAATGGACAAAACGACGGGAGTCTGTATCAACTCCTCCCTTTTCACAGTAAACGTCTACTTTGTCGCCCAACTTGAGACGGAGGAGGATCGCCTGGCCCGAGTTCCCGACGGATTGGGGTGTCGCATACGTAGTTCCTTTGATCTCTTGGTTTAGTCTGAGATGTATCTCGGTGTGTACACCGTAATAACCCAAATAATGAAAAAAGATGACATAAATGCCGTCCTGGGGTGCGATGAAAATCCCGGTGCTCGGAGCCATCCCATCGCCTATGTTCATATCGGTCCCGTCGAAAGGGATTACCCCTTTTTTCACCAAATGTTAGTGCGGTAGGCATGAAAATAGACGCCTTTCACAGCGATGCGGGCACCAGTATCCAGCTGGAAGCCCGCGTCGGAGTCCTCAAAGTCCATCTGACAGAGGACGACGTCCAACCGTCCTTTTTTTTTCTGGACCAGGTAATAACCCGAACGAGGGTTTCCGGCTCGGCGGAGAGACGAGCACGATTCTGCTGGATTCTCCGACGAAGGAGCCTTGCCTTTGCAAGCTAATCCGCCCAGTGTGTATTTCGCCTTCTGACCCGCAAATTGTAATCCCCCGAATCGCAGCTCAGTTAAGGGGAGGGAAGTTCGGTTGGTGATCGCTCCCGAGTCAGACTCCCAATGTGGGGCTTTTGCGTCGCAGTTGCACGACAGCGCTTTGTCCGTACAGTTGTTGGAGAGACCGCATCTGCATACGTGTTTTCCTCCGTTTGACCCATCCCAGTAATCCTGAGGATTCCCGTGTCGGTCCACCCACCATGCCTGCCGCCTTTCTCCGATACTCAAGGCCGTTGAAAAGCAGTCAAACTGGAAGTAGAGTAAATATTACATACATTTCTCAGAAAGTTGCAGCCAAATTTCTCGGAATTATTGCATCATAAAATGCAGTCACACTTGGTGTTCAATTCTTTTTAATACGCTGAGACATGATTAACTCACCCGTATTTCCTGACTGCAATGCGTCGACTGATCGATCAAAGCTACCATCTGTCTGAGCGATGCCTCGTACTTGATTTTTCGCCTGTAGCAGTCAGGACCAGCGCAGGGATCGATCTTCGTATCGGCCATCGAATCATGGAGAACGATCGTGGATACTGGAACTAGATGAAGCATAGTCGAGAGAGCACGAGCCGGAACAAATGACACATCATCATTGCAGTATCTGTTCGACCGACGGACCAATGGTTTCCTTCACCGACCTGTCTCCATGTCACAGAGCACTTTGATGGGTGCATCGCCGATCCCGTCAGGATCCATGAAATATTCTCCTGTCCGTTTCCCGCCCAGGTCTGCCAACGTCTGACATGTTCGGGGAGCTGAGGTAAAAAGTATCACACTTGGCATTCCGAGTTGAAATAATTTTGTTTACTTTTGCGCAAAGAATTATTAAGTGAAGTTGACACTTTTGGAGCATTTCGTGCAGAAATCGCATTTCAGGTCTGGACGTATCACTGCCTAGAATACGTGATCGGCTACTGTACTACTGTCACCGCTATCTGCGCTGTTCACGATGCGCAGGCCTCTTACTCGTTCCAAGGTGGTATTAGCGATCAAATGAGCGTTCTGTAAGGAGCGGCACAGAGTAACTGAGTTCCTTCTTGTAGAAGGCGATATATAAGAGTTGGCGCAATATGGCCTCTCCATTCCAGAACGGTGTTACACGAAGACGGGAGTTTGACTGTTGGCAATATACCACCGGAGCACGTGACAGTGCATAATACGTTAAATGGCCAAAGGGTGGTAGGGCGCTCATCATGCAGAACGTTGCACGGATTGTCTTGAAGCACTTGAACGTACCTCGCAAGTGCTTGTGTCCCATTCGAACGCGCTTCAAGCGAAAATTCGTCATCCCAATAAAGCAGATAGTTTAATCGAAGTTTGAAGTATGTTGTGAAGCCATGTGTTCTAAGGGAATTTCAATAGTGTGGGATGCTCTTCGCCGAATGCTTCCAAGATCGTCAGTGCCTTCTTTGAAGAACAACTGCGCGCAGTGAAATGGTGAGACGGTGGTGACAGTAAATGTCCAGTAAACCAGACATTCAAAGCAATAATGGGACATGTTGCGGATACCGAAACGACCATATTTATGCCATCAGTGGACCAACATATTTTTGTTTAATATTTGACGTTCATCAACAATTCTGATCGTAGGGCTTCATCAAGTCTTCACTCACCTATTTGTAAGCTAATAGCTTCCAGATATTGGAGTCTTCCTTCAGTGGTGTTCAGTTGAAGTTCAGGTTTTTCCCTTTCCCGGAGATGTTCCTGCAAGGAAGACTTGAGGTTTTCGTGCTCTTTCCTCATGTTATCAAAGTCATTCTTCAAGTTCTTGTAGTCGTCCCTGAGACTTTCCTTGTCGTTCCGCAAGTGCTCATTTTCCGACTTCAGTTGTGTGATTTGTTCCGCATGATCTTGCCATTTTGCCCGCAGATCTGACATCATTTCTTCCAAGTTACCTTCAATATTTTCCCGTCCATGGATCGGAACGCTTTGGAGCGCCTGGAAAAAGGAAGTAACATTAGATACGAGACTACCGTTTCATGGCAAATATGGCTTCCTGTAAAAACCCATGAATAATTTATTATTTACTTAGTGCGGGAAAATCGCAATCCTAAGCAGTCAAAAACCTTTTTTTTTTCATTCTCCCGAACAAATAAGAGTTCGAAAAAAAACTGCAAATGTGTTAAAATTAAGCCGTGAATTTTCCCAGCTTTTCATTTAAAACATCTACACTTTGTTTATTTTGAACATGGTAGATGTCCTTCTTAACGGAAATGCACATGCTGGAGACGTATATCCACATTTTTTCAAATGCGGGTAGGGGAGTTCGGGAACGGACTTTAATCGCAACTGCTCCTCCATCGCTGGGGACTATAGCCCACACACCACCCATCACCCCGAAAAGTTTGCAGCATTTTCGGGCTGATGGGTGGTGTGTGGGCTATAGTCCCCAGCGATGGAGGAGCAGTTGCGATTAGAGTCCTCTCTCACTCTCCTTCTTCACTGCTTTTCCCGGTTAATTACTAGGTTATATTGGTTGTTTGCAGCATTTCGTTCAGTACTTTTGAGGGTTGGCCGCCCTCGTAAGTACTTATACACTTGGCCTTCAAATGTAACAATGTTCGTTCCCGCACCTGTCCCTGTATGGTAGAGGGAAGGAACCTGACCCTTTTGCAACCCTTCTGTAAGACGACTCACTCAATTTATAAGATCACATGTGGTTCCTGCAACCTAGCTTATGTCGGTCAAACAAGCACCGCCCTAAACTTAAGAATAAATAACCACAGATCCCATGTAAAGTTAAATAGAACTCAAGATATAGAAATTCAACATTTTCCGAGGTATAACTTTCAAAACATTAAGACTGAAATTTTGAAAGTGGTCATTGACGATAATGAAAGACTCTTGGCTGAGGACCAATGTCACAAATGCCTGCCGCGTGTGGTGGAGGCCTCTCCAAGCCAATTCATCCCACTAATGTGCTCTGAAATGGGTGCAACTAGTAAGGGTTTTCCTTTCTTGCCCAATGTGGTGAGACATATGAAGAGAATTCTCAAAGAAGCAAGTTACCGTTCGATATGATGAAGAAGGATACCGAAATGTACAAGAGGGTACATGCGAGATATTCTAAATTTAAAAAAAAGTCGCCGCAGGAAAGGATTTCATTGAGTTTAGAACTCACATGTGGAGTACTCGACTATGTAGAAAGAGACCTAATAATACAATGCATTTAATGCACTCCCATGAGAAAGAAAAATCATTTTTCAATTATAAGAACTCGTGCAGAGGTTATGAACAAATGAATTCATGGAAAGTAAAGGTCAAAAAGGCATCAGCTACTTTTCATTTTACAGTTTCCAGCCACGATCAGCTAACAGAATATCTGAAGTTGAAAGTCTCTTGAGGATCCTGTGGGTCGGTGTCGATGCATTTCAGTAAGCGAACCTGCTAAATTTGGTTCTCTAAACTCCTGTGCCACGACGTCATGTCTCATTTCGGACGGCTTATTCAAATATTCCAGTAGTTGGCATTTAGAATGAATCACGTTAGAATGATGAGGACGATAAGGAGTACGAGACACATGCACGGGATCGTTAACTTAGAGGGCGATTCAAGTTCGAAGGAATGCTAGAAAAGGGAATCAACATACGGTATGGTGGAAGCAAATATTCCTCAGGAGTGCATTGAGATAATACTTGCGGGTAGGAGCTAATACCTGCGAATTCATGCCATATTCATGATATGCAGTAAATACGTAACGATTTTTCCATACGTCACTCAGGTTTCCTCTCCTACCGCGGTAGGAGAGGTCCACTTCAGAAAAATGTTGTTTTCTTCGTTAATAATAATTGCCTGTCCTTAAGACTCTAGCCGACTTCAGAGCGCACTGTTACAGGATTAACAATCCAAATTTATTCAATATTGCTGAAATCTATCGCCATGTTACTTCTTTGCTATGAGTCGCTCTATATTCCTCATCGATGGAAAATACTCCAAAGACATATTAGAAGGGAAACATTCAATAACTTACGAATAAAGGCTTCCCTAGTATTGCTCACATTGATAAGCCTCGGAGGTGCTATGTCAAGAGGGCTCTCCCCGATTGAGAATAAATTGCTCGATTGAGTCTCACATTTTGAATGATGAGGGTGCGTTGTCTCAAGTTCCATTGGAGCGCAACCTGATTTCAGAGAATGCAGAATGCATAAGCGAAAGGGAACAGAACCTTTTTAGTGTTATTATGGAGGGCATGACTAAAATACCGTTCAGCGCTCGATATCGGATGTAGGACTCGAATCTCCTTGCATTCTCATTTGAGATGGACTAGATAATTACTACAGATACCCTAAGGGTCGTCCTAATCCTCCTTGGTGCTATCACAGAGACGAAGGTATTCTGGAAATCGAGTTGAATTACTTCGGGGTCCTCTTTTGTCCTCTTCAGAAAGAGTTTCTCGAGAAAATAGTTTATAAAACTTTCTGTTCAATGCACCGGTCCTAGATTAATCCTGGGGCCCATGTTGAAAGTCCTGAGGAAGAAGCAAAGCATGCCTTATAACTTACGCTGGAAAATAATGGATCGACCGTCTCTCAAAAATATTCAGCCACGTAAAGGTCATCGAGGGGGGATGACTAAGGCGACGATCAATAGGTTTGACCCAGGGATAATCTTTGCGACGAGAAACTTCTTGGAAATTCCAGGGGTTTCGGATTACGCCGGAGCTCATAGCGATAGTTGGCTTATCGTTAACCAGGAGAGGAAGTCGCGATTCGAATCCCCCCCAATCAAGTGTGAGCCCTCTGCTGTAGTACATTCGACTATACCGTTTAACTATGACGAAATACAGTTATTTAATACCATAAATTTACTCATGAGCTGAAACATGGGCCAATGAGACTCGTTCCCAGGCAGCACACCAGGGTTAACCTAGGTTGATGTCCTCATTAATACGCGTCAGCAATCATGTTAACATTGCTTTAACTTCGTTAACTCAATTCCATTTTCCACATGTTAAAAACGTTCTTACTTCCAAAACGACTCTTTCGATATTAAGTGACCTGAAAAGGAATAGACTTCAGACCTCGTACCAACGGACTGATCGCCTGCTGGCCGATATATCTGTATTGAACCAATTGCATTATGAAGGAATGTTAAATAAACGCTGGCATGTAATAATTTTGTATCCCCATATTCAAGAAAGTTTCGCAGAAAGTTCATATTCCCGATAAGAACCGTTTGCTTATACAGGGTAACTTAATCCTAAAGGAGTTTTACAACATTGACGGAATATGCATATTCAATCCTTCATTCCTTCGTCCCGAAGCTAGAATGAGGAAATGAGGTGTTGAATTTGTGTATACGTCTCATGGGGATAGAATTACTCCTGGAACAGAATATTCGCCGAATATGCCCATGAATTTTTACTGCCTTCTGAAAATATCTGAACATTTTCGGATATGTATTGAATTGGGCGAAAAGTGATTAAAACTTTATCTCATTAGTTATTCTGTTGCAGTACGAAACAAAGCAGTAGCCATGGAGAACGATGCATTATTTCCAACGTCAAAGTGCTTTTGGTCTGCATAGGGAAATACTTGGACGAGTATACGGCTCTTTTTCTTTCGGTCTTGATAATGGACATGCCATTTGCTTTGTAGATATATGGTCGTCCAAGACTTCTCCATATCCAGATGCGCATGGCCTACAAAAATCGTTGCGAGATATGTGACAGGAACATTCTTTTTCCAGGCCTTGTTGTCATGGCAACATTGTTTTTGAAGCGCGAGGGAGGCCACAGTCCTCCGGGTGCTCCTGACCCATTCGGCACAATTATGTTGTCAACGTTGAAAAAAGGTTGATGGCAATGTTGCCTCAATGTTGAGAAAGGTTGACAATTTAACGTAACATGTTGCCACGATGTTGAAATGAAACATAGCTCAACGTAGAAAAGTTGATGTTCCGCAACGTTGTGTCAACTTTGAATTGTCAACGTACGCATTATAGTACCTCCTTCCTTTTCCAGAGTCTGAATGAGCTTTGATTACCGGATGAAATTGAATATGGACTCGATAAGTCCATGGAGGGTCCCCAAGTGGTATGATACCAGCAATACTCTACCGAGTACAATCATCCCACGTAAAGGACCCTCAGAGTCGTATTTCCTCTACTGAATCAGAATCCAAATTGAGTACTTACATGAATTCCCGATATTACAGTTTCTCATTGTCCCGGGTGTCCTCCAACTTGCAATGATTTGACGTAATGTCGATGATGATGGTGTATCTGGTGTAGGATATTGCTCCCGGAAAGCACATTGTACACATTTGGCAGAATTACTCTCAACATGCTTCTCAACAATAAATATTCAACGCTCCGTTGATTGCCAGTACGAAAAAATCTTCTAGGATCCAATTTTTGAGTAATAAAAATGCTCTAGGATTCCTATATATTAGAACACATTCGGACAGAAAAGTTCGGTGATTAAACTACTTGGACTGATGGGTTAGTCTTTTTTTTTGGGGGGGGGGGAGAAAGACTCTAATTGTCTCATTCGGAAGACTTGCAGGAGCCTGAAGCGGATGATAAATGAAAGAGAGACGTACCCGTCCGTCCAGTTCCTTCTTGACTGCTGGCCGATTTGGAATTTATAATTTTTGCGAGGGGGAAGAGAAAGGTCGAATGGCCAGAGGAAAGAGTCTCATTATCTCACCGGAAGTGTCGCTTATCGCTAGCAGAACTTTTTAAACATCGCTTTTGAATAGATATTAGGTTGAATAGTAAATTTAGGTCCTGATCGCGCGCATCACATAGAGCGGGATCACGTGCATCGCAATGAGGGATTTATGTCACAAGCTAGTAACGAGGCCAAAGAATGTCAGAATTTGGATCCTTCCAACATTAACCTCAAAATCATGGAAGCTGGTAGCATAGTTTCAAGA